GACATTAGCAGTCACATATCCCACATCCATCGCATTTCTCGCGTTCTCGCACCGACCTGCGATTATTACGGCTTCCTCCATGTCTGTCGCTCCCTGCTCATAACATTTCGTCCTCAGCACTGGGTCCAGACCCGCCACAAAACGGCGAAACTTTTCCTCCCTCTGGGCTCTGTCACCGTACTCTGGGAAAGCCTCATCCACTAGACGGCTTATTTCTGCTGCATACACCTCTAGGCTCTCCCGTGCTGCGCGAGGGCGGGCAGATAAGCTGTACCTAAATCGCTCCATGAACTGTCTCCTTCCAAAAGCTTCTTTTAGCTTCTCTTTTACTTTGTCATAGTCCGATTTAACAGGATCAGGGAGACTGTCCCATAGAGAGAAAGCTGCGTTGTTTAAACGTGTGGGTAAAATCCTTGTCAGTTCATAGTTGTATGAAGCGGTTCCACTCCCTTCAGTGAGCGTTTGACCGCAACTTCAAACTGTCTCGCCCAGCACACAAAACTTTGTTTCTCCTCCCCAGAGAACGGAGGTGGCAATTCAATTCGCACGCTCCTATTGCCTCTGTCACGGTCCCGAAAAACACTAAAATTGTCTTCCTCCTTGAACCACATACTGACGATGCGTAGACCGCGCGTGCTACTAACTATACACTTTTGAATTTAAGCTAACTAATTTAACACCCGTCGAAACACTTTAAAACACTAACTAAACTCAACCAAAACAACACCGCTGCCACCAATGTGACCGAGCTTACGCCTCGGGTTCGCCTAAACACTTTTCAAATAATAAAATAAAGAAAGCGAGACTCGGGTATTATATGAACGATGTACTTTTTATTCTTCTTAACTCCAAAGAAACTCACATGGCACACCTGGGCGCTCTCGTTAACATGTGCGTGCCCAAACCTTGCCTACGGCAAGCCCTGAGGGACAGAAAAGCAATACACACACAAACGCAACCCACAGCCTTAACATCAACTTCAAAATGTATGTTACACTAGTTTATATATATATATATATCATTCGTTCCTGGTTCAGTCTAATACAATGTTTGTGTGCATTTAGGTCTCAAATCAGATCTGACATTCTAACGTGTGTTTTATTCACTTGTAATCAGGATTATAGTTAGAGGTTAATTCAGGATAATTGGGACATTTTTCCCCAGTCATCTCGATGGCAAAAGTGTCCCAATTTATCTGCATCGGATCAAAACAAAATCAAGATATTGTCAGGAAAAGAGGTTTAACATTGATGCCAATAACTGTACAATGTCTGAAAAGTATTGCCTGCTGAATCACTTTGTTGTATTCCTCATTTGCTATGAATACATGCATGTTAATTCATAAGGTCCCAATTTATATATATATATATACATTCGGTGGCCTTAACTGCTATGTACTTAGATCAGAAAATAAGTACAGTGCACTTATTGTGTTCAGATTATATTGCAAAACAGTTTTGCTGCTATTGATGTGGGATATGGGTAAGGTTAGGGACAGGTTTGGTGGTGTGGGCAGGTTTAAGTGTCAACAGTGTAATTACAGAAATTAATTACAGATGCAATTACATGCAGGTATTTTAAAAAATATAATTACAATGTAAAAACTTGTATGTACCCAATAAGTGCATTGTATTAAATAATTAATTTAATGTATAAGTGCAATGTAGTATAAAGTGTGAGCATTCATAATGAGAAATGCATGTTTTAGCAACTTCTGTAATGAACGTCTCTGGTCCAGATTCAGGGGTTTGTGGCTCTGAGGCCGAGCACAGGCTCTTCTCAGTCATCTTCTCCAGTTATAACCAGTACATCAGACCGGTGGAGAACGTGTCCGAGCCCGTCATCGTCCAGTTTGAGCTCTCCATGTCACAGCTGGTCAAAGTGGTAAGTGCTGTGAGCAAACACAGGTTCATTTGCTTGTTTCACCCTGGTTTCAGATGGTTTCAGAGGGATTCAGTCTCTGTTCTCCATGGTTTGCATCAGTCGCCTGCTGGGCTCATGATGAGTCTGGGTCTCTTCATGATTCACTCATCAGCTGGAGCTTCAAAGTCTCTGCGCTTGAGCTCTGACCTCAGACACGCATCGATCCGTCAGATCCATGATCTGCTGAATTATCAGTTTTCCTCTCACCTCTCCTCTTTCTTCCCCGCATCAGTCACGGAGAACGTCTCACTTCTATTAAACACAGTGTCTATCGAGCTCTATTTCCTTCCTTATGTCATTCTTTCTCATTTCTTTTCTCTAGATTGTTGAATTCAGCTTGATAATGATAACGTCTATGTGATGCAAAAAATGCCATTTCTGTGCATTCAGTCACATCCCTTTGTTATGCTTTAAAGTTTAGAGAGGTCATTTCATGCTCTTTTTGGGGGGATGGAAGCACAAACAACAAGAAAAACACCATAACAAAGAATGATTTCAGTATTATATTGCAGAGGAAATCTAAATATGGTCTTCTGAAATGTTCTCATATCTCTGCCAGTACCTTTAGTGGCCTGATTTAACATTTTGACAGACTATTGGATTTTTTTTTTTTTAAAGGCTCATATTGTCATAGATGTCAATATAAAGGCATATAAGAAAATGTATTGTGTAATGTGTAAGTTGAGATCATAAATTAACTTTTTTTATGACCAACATATATTTTAAATATATGCTGTAAACCGTAAAGCTCAATGAAATATATTTTTGAAATTGAATATGTATTTAGTTTCAACCTTCATATACCAAAATATATTTCAAAATGTATTTCAGTGGCAAGAAAAAACATTTCCAGTCTTACAGCAGCCTTCATTTATGTTATGTTTAAGTTTGTCTTCAAATGTGACACATTCAGTGTTATTTTAGTATCATTCAGATACTTTATAGTTTTTGATATTATTCTGAACTAGATTTTATTTTTAGATTTTCTGGTTTCATTTTCATTTTGGTTAAAGTTTTAGTAATTTTGTTGTGCGTTTGTTGTTTGTTTTTAAATATGCATATATATATATATATATATATATATATATATATATAAATTATTTTTAGATAGTTTTAGTTTTAATTATTGTAGTACATTAAACTAAATGAAAATGAGAAATGTTGCCTTGGAAACTAACTGACATAAAATAGTTTTAAGTTTTTATATTTTATTTTATGTCAGTTAACTTTTATTTTATATGTATTTATTTCAAGTAATCAAAGTGTGGTTTGTTTATGGTTTAATTTTAGTTTTAGTCAACTATGATAACCCTCATGTTATTGTGGTTTCTTGTATTGAAATACATGGAGGGCAAAATATTTTTGAATACTTATAAAAATATATATTTATATTTCAAAATATACCTTTTTTGCCTTTATCTGTAGGATGAGGTGAACCAGATTATGGAGACCAATCTCTGGCTGCGACATGTAAGCTCATGCATTATTCACACACATCCAAAGGTCATTGATTCATTTAGATAATTGGACACAATTGTATTCACCATCTTTGCGGTCACTCTTTGCAATGATTGGTGCAGCAGGTGGATTTGATTCCCAGTGGAATACAGATGTGAGATGCTTGCTGCTGGTGTGATGTTGTGGATGTTAAAAACAAATCCTAATAGACTCACGGTAAGGAGTTGTAGATGATATTATTATATTCATTTAGGCATTTGGTGAAAAAATAAATGGGACTGTGATCTCAGTAATATTGGTTTCCAAATGGCTAATTGTCTTGATTGGAAATGATCTACTTAAAGGGGTCATATGATGCTTTTTTAAAGATCATTATTTTGTGTATTTGGTGTAAGGCTTTAGATCTTATCATTTGTTATGAGAGTGATTATGTGAAGAGGAATAATTAAAAACTGTGTACGAGAAAAAATCTCATGCAGCAAAGAGGGCCTAACCAAAGCATTGTGCCCTCCTCCTGAATTAATCATGCAGTTCATTAACGTTTAAATGGCAAATCAATAATCACATTTAATCAAGCGAATCGAATTCAATACATAATTAATTCACATGGGTGGTAAGTCATATACCAACTATTTAAGCAACTGACCTGGAAACTGTGCATCTATTGATGTGTCAGTTCTATCAAACGTGCCTTGAGTTGGCATTGCCTCCCTTAAAATACATTAAACAGATCAAAGGAACTCTTTATCTTCATCAACATCTGATCGTAGTCGCTCGTTTAGTCTGTGTGTGTTTGCTGTATCCTGGAATACTGAATCTAATTAAGCATAACACACAAGCATGCTGCAAATATGGGCTTCATATTGTGTGCATAAAACTGAAACCATATTTTTCTTGCAAATCGTACTCCAGTACTTTTTAACAACTTTGGAAACTATGGAAGCCCGTTTCTGACTTTTTCTCGGAATTGCGAGATGTAAAACTTGTAATTGCATGTTATAAAGCTAGATTTGCTAGACATTTTTTCTCGCAGTTGTAAGTTTATATCTTGCAATTCTGACTTTTTCCAAGCAATTTTGATTTTTTTTTCTCACAATTTTGAGTTTATATATCGCAATTCTGACAATATCTTGCAATTGTGAGTTATAAAGTGCAGTTAAGAGGGAAAAAGACTATTTTCTAATAATGGCACAATCCTTTTTTTCTCACAATTGCAAGTTTACATCTCTCAATTCTGACTTTTGTTCTCAGAACTGCGTGATCTAAACTTACAATTGCTTGTTATAAAGCCAGAATTGCGAGATATTAACTCAAGTCTCAAAAAGTCAGAATTGTTAGATAAAAAGTTGCAATTACCTTTTTTATTCAGTGGCAGAAACTCATTTTTTTTTCTGAGTGTTTCTACTTTTCCTAGATTTGGAACGATTATAAGCTCAGGTGGAATCCCAAGGATTTCGGAGGCGTTGAGTTCATCCGTGTGCCGTCGAACAAGATTTGGAAGCCAGACATCGTGTTGTACAACAAGTAAGTTCTCCGTTCTGATCCTCGTTTCGTTAAGGACCATTCGTTATCAGCATCGTTAATCCTTGAAAGTTGTTCATATTTTTTTTTTTTTTAAATGTATGTACATTTATAACACTATTCTTTGTATTATATCACCTTTTATTGAAAATCATGAAAACATTTTCTTTTGCTATTTGAGCAAGTGGGAATGCAAAAAATATATTTGTGGTACTCTCCCATAGTGCTGTCAAACGATTAATCGCGATTATAACAGCTAAGGGGGTTTTAGGCACTCCGCTTCGCACCTAACATTGCCCCTTAGCTGTTATAAAATCACAGTAAACCACGGCTTCTTGGGACTTATTGCTTTATTATGTAAACAAAAACTTTTATTTTGGATGCGATTAATCGCGAGCACTAATAAGCACTACTCTCCCATTCACTGCTCTCGAAGTCAACCCAACTACGACGACTTCCGCTGCTGAGAAACACGGAAACGTAAAAAAGGTAAATCCTTCACGATCCGTTTCTGTTTCCGACCCGCAGCGCAGTCGGTGATTTCCAGGTGGACGACAAAACGAAAGCTCTTCTGCGCTACAACGGAGACGTCACCTGGATCCCACCGGCCATCTTCAAGAGCTCCTGCAAGATCGACGTCACCTTCTTCCCGTTCGACTACCAGAACTGCACCATGAAGTTCGGCTCGTGGACCTACGACAAAGCCAAGATCGACCTGGTGCTCATCGGCTCCACCATCAACCTGAAGGATTTCTGGGAAAGTGGCGAGTGGACGATCATCGACGCTCCCGGGTACAAGCACGACATCAAGTACAACTGCTGCGAGGAGATCTACACGGACATCACGTACTCGCTCTACATCCGCCGGCTGCCGCTCTTCTACACCATCAACATGATCATTCCCTGTCTGCTGATCTCCTTCCTCACCGTTCTGGTGTTTTATCTCCCGTCCGACTGCGGAGAGAAGGTGACCTTGTGCATTTCTGTTCTCCTCTCCCTCACTGTTTTCCTCTTGGTCATCACCGAAACCATCCCGTCCACGTCTCTCGTCATCCCTCTGATCGGAGAGTACCTGCTCTTCACCATGATATTTGTGACTCTGTCCATCGTGATCACTGTGTTTGTGCTCAATGTGCATTACCGCACGCCTAAGACGCACACCATGCCCGGCTGGGTTTGGAAAGTGTTCCTCGGTCTGCTCCCTCGGGTCATGCTCATGACTCGGCCTGAGAAAGAGCCGGAGAGGAAGACCAGATCCTGCGCTCTTCACGCTCCAGGTCTGGTTTCCAGCAAACAGACGAATGTTTCGCGCCGGGCTCCTCTGCTGCTGTGCTCCTCTGAGCTCACCAATCTGAGCGAGGCCTCGTCTAAGACGGCACCTGGCTTTCTGTGTCGAGACGGACGATGCCTGGGGAAGCAACAAGGCACTAACGCCTCCAGCGCAGGAGCAGAAGACGGAGGGAGTCCGTGCTCCAGCTCGGAGTCTCTGGACGCTGGGTTTCTGTGCATGTCTCCACAGGTCAGAGACGCCATAGAGAGCGTCAAGTACATCGCCCAAAACATGAGGCTACAGAACGAGGCCAAGGAGGTGAGAGAACTGACTTCAAATCAATCCATAATGCATTGGTCTGATACAGTCAAACCAAAATGTATTAAGACACCTTCGACGTTTCTCACACTATCATAGTTGATTCGCTATAGTTTAGAAAATGGTATTAAAATATGACAAGAACTCCGAGTTAAACTGAGTCAGAACACATTCATCTTGATAATGTCAGATAACTTGGTAACACTTTATTTTAAGGTGTCCTTGTTACACATGTACTTACTATTGCAATAACAATTAATTATGCATAATTACATGCAAGTAACCCTAACCATATAGTAAGTGCATGTAGTTAATTAATATTACTCAGTACTTACATGTATAATTACACTGCAACAAGGACACCTTAAAATAACGTGTAACCGATAACTTTGATAGAAAGGTATGTAATGAATCAGACTGTCAGCTGTAAAATTTAAGAACACAATTAGATAATACCAATTTAGCTCAACCGTAAGCAGTGCTTAATTCTGTTCAGTATGTGGTGTAAAAAGGTCGCATTAGCAATTAAAGAAAAACACTTCAGCAAAACATGCTCAGGTCAAAGTGTCTGAATAATTTTTGGTCCCAAATTTTACTGGTAGTCCACTGTATGAAGAATGTTTGGGTATAATATGTCACAGTTTACTTTATTTTGCTATCCTCACTTACATAAATGAACTATAGTGTCCTGCACCCACTAGTAAAAAAATATAAAAAATTATATCTTGTGTCTGATTCAATTTTGGATTGACTGTATTATCACTTTTTATTTCTAGGCCTTTAGTATTTCGTGTTAAACAAGCAGGGGATCCTGAAGGGAGAGAAATAAAGCATGTTTTTACTTCTGGTGTGCTGAACTCTATCAATTGCATACTGAAGCTTTTCACAAGATCTTTTCACTTTAAGTCTCTAAAGCCTAATTTTATGAAATGGAAGAGTTTATTGAACCTTTAGACAAAATCTAAAAAAATTAGTCTGCGTATGTGCTTTTTTTGTTAAATGTCATTTGTGTTCCATTAGGCTTTTCTGGCTCATATAGTCTGATGCAGTGAGAATATGGAGAAAAACAGCTCAGTTTTATTCAGAGACTCAAACTGAGCAAAACTGTGCAATTTGGTGCAGATGCTGATATTTCTATGCTGATATTCTGATGCTTGTGATGTAAATCAATGAGATCTTTATAACAGTAGAGCAGATACTGACATAAAATGATCTAAATATCAGTCGTGGCTCTATATCTCCAGTAATCTGTCTCAGTAAGATGAGATTGAAATGCTCCAAACATATAATGCAGTGATTGAGAGCTGAAGAAATAAAGGCTCCTCAGAAGATGTGAGATGTTCTGGAGGCTTGTGAAGATCATTCCTCCGCTGAGGAACAGTGAAAGTAAAGCTTCTGGAAACAAACGCTCCTCAAAAGATCCTGAGGATCAGATTTGAGACTCTAAAACATGATTGATGGAGAATCAACTAAAGCTGAGCTGCTTCAGTCCAGTAAGTGTTCATCTGGAGATATTACTGCAGTTATTCTGACGCTTACTTGAGAAGATCTGACAGCAGAGACACTGGATGTTTGTGCAATTACACTAAAAGAGCTTTTACTGGATAAAAACCAAACGACGGAAGAGATGAAGTAGAAACAGGTTTAACAGCAAACTTTGATCATTTAGAGGGCTTAGAAATCTGCACATCAAATATGATCCAGAGTTCATGTCTTGCTCTTCCAACCCTTGTGTTTAAAGGTCCAGGACGACTGGAAGTATGTGGCGATGGTGATTGACCGGATCTTTCTCTGGGTGTTTGTCCTCGTTTGTATTCTGGGTACGGCTGGACTCTTTCTGCAGCCGCTGCTGATGAGCGAAGACATGTGACGACTTCACATCCCAACATTTTCATAGATTTCTAAGTACCCACCCGACGGCTTACTGTCCTGTCAATTCCTATTTCCATCAAAGTCATGCAACCCGGTTACATTACATAATGCTAAAAAACATTTGGCCGATGACTGGACCGAATATTTGGCCTGTAGATGGAGTATCAGAGGCTTGTGCAACTAGCAGAGTACTCTTAAATGAATAGTCCACTCAAAAAATTGACATTTATTTGCCTTTTGAGTTGTTCCAAGTCCATGTGGTCTTTTTTTATTTTTTTTCCATGTTTCATAGATCACAGTAAGCTCCAAAATGAGAATGAAGCACCGTAAAAGTAGTCTGTACAAACATGTGTGCTGTAGTTTTTGAAGTCATAATAAACAGAGTGAAATCACAGCTGCTCGCTGATAATCTTCTGTGTATGAATGAATGGGTTCAGTTCATAATAATAAGGCTTATTCCGTCCATTCGAGTCCTTGTAATGCGTGAAGATTCTATAATATAATATATATAATAATGAATATATCAGCATGTAGGTTTGGACTGAAAATAATAACGGGGTCTTTATTTCCGAATCTGTCTGTAAACTCACACATCCCTTCATGAGATACAGCTGCTGTTTGGCACGTATGGTCATTTTGTTACATTAAAATATTTTAAACTACTTGTCAGACACGTTTTTAAAAACACAGACTTGGGCAAAGTCACCATCTCCTTGTGTGAGTGTTGTAACAGCTTACTTTCAGGTACAAAGCGCCACCTAGTGGATCCTTTGAGCAGGTCCCTGGTAAAAAAGAAAAAAAGACGAGACCTTTCTGTGTAATTTATGTCATGGGTCATGCAATGGGTGTCTGTTCACTGTACATGTTCATATATTCTTAATGTATTGTGTAAAACCCCGATGCACATTTTTAACCTTTCAAGGAATCCTACAAATAAAGAAAGACTGATAACTATGAAGATCTTCTTTTCTACTGTTGGCTGGCTGAAAATGATTTATCTTCAGTTTTGTGAGAATTTCAGCATCTGCCCCGGGCTGCACTGACATCTATCAAAGGTTGTAAAGTTTTTATAGCACACTGTAAATTACTGTCATGCACCTGTATCGACGTCACTGAGCGTTAACGCAGCTTACATAAAGCGTTAAAACCAAATAATTTGATTTCTGACATTTAAAGCAAACTGAGAGCCAAAAATGCTCTCCGAATGCTCTCAGACATTCTCATATTCACAACTTAATAGCAACCTATTGATAATAGCACTGCTGTACTCAATTGCATCTTCATTTGTACAGTAAACAAGAAAGCTATTAATCCAAGGGTTTCTAAGTCAGAAAAGGGTTAGATTCTTCCTTAAGGCATTTTCACACTAAATGCAAATGTTCAGTTTAAATAAACCAATTAATGCCTATGAACCTTTTCACACCAGACCCAACTGGTTTTTCCCTTCGGTAAGTGGGTCTCATTTTATTTTCATCATCGGGTGATCAGATTATACATTATGCATGAGAATTCTGCTAACTGAGTAAGGCATTTGATAATCAAAGTCACAGGTCTGCCCTCTGGCTGGAACAGGTTTAGTTAACATTTCACAACACATTATTAATTACATGACTGCCACACTGCTACTACTGTCTCACTATCGTGTTACAACATTAATGAATCAATACAATACAACTGTAGAAGAAGAAAAAAAGTAGTAAATGCATAATAGACATTTTGAAACATTGAATAGTTGATGCATAATTCTAGGTTGATGTGGAATATGAAGACCAAGATGAGGAAATGTGGAAAATGTTTTTTATATTTTGACTGCTTTTAGCTATTTTCCAATTTAACAAAAACATTACACCAAAAGAAATAATAATAAAGTAACTACAGCTAACTGTGATTGCAGGCATGCTTGTAAGTAAAACTCTGACAGCAGGTGACTATGAGGTTAATTGTTATGAAGTCCAATAATCATGCAGAAATGTCGACTCAGATGAACTGTAAAATGCTTCTAAGCTTTGAGCACTGATGCACAATGTGGCTTTGGGCAAAACTGTTGTGAGAACGCAAATTATCCAGTCCATCATCGCTTGAAACATCGCCTTTGGGTTGCTAAGCCAAAATGAACTCTACACTTTTTAAAAATGCCTTGTGGCTAAAACCCCCTGAAGGCTAGACCACTCCTTCCCACCGAAAGTATAAAACCAAGACCACCACCTGCAACCTATAATCCACCTGTGCATCAGCCTTTTAGACCGACAACATGAGCTTCACTTTCAAGTCAGCGTTCGAGACCATCTCCAGCTTCGTGAGTGATCTTTCAGTCCTCTAATCTTTCATATTAGCCTTTCTGAATTAACTTGTGCATTTTCGAGATAGTTGTATTCAAGTCAGCTGTAAACCTTACCATAACACAGGAATACAGAATGCTTTATTTACTATGCAGAGCATCCCTTATGTGAGCCGTATCTCTGGAGGACTAAAAGCTGGGAAAGCCATCTTCATTCAGGGATCTGTTCCGTCTGGATGTGAGAGGTGACTCTCTCTGTTCATGACTGAGTGTGTTCGAGTAACTAGTTCACTCCTTCACGTTGTCTTTGATCATTGCAGCTTTGTGGTGAATCTGAAGTGTGGAGAGTCTGAAGGAGATGACATCGCCTTTCAAATCAAGCCCCAGTTCAGCAGCGACCGCATGGTGCTGAACAGCCGCCAACATGGGTCATGGGGAAAAGAGGAGAAACTGGAATTACCTTTAAAGCAGGCCAGCGGCTTTGATCTGATCATTGCCGTGAATTCTGAAAATTATCAGGTGTGTTTTGATGCTTGGTCCTATTCATTGGGTGCATCGTGCGAAGGCAAAAACATTAGAAGAGATACCTAACTATAGTAATTTTCAATCTGAAGGTGTATTTGAATGGAAGTGAAGTTGGCCGATTCCAGCATCGTATATCTCTGGATCGAGTCATCGCTCTGAGCGTTGGAGGAGAGGTTTCTGTGACAAACGTGGCTTTCACCGAGGTGAGCGATAAACCTCTTTTACATATATTTTCAGACTGCATAAACGCTGCAAAAAATGATATTCTTCCTTAGTATTTTTTGTCTTGTTTTCTAGTATACATATCAACAAATTCTTGAATTAGGATGCATTTACTTGACAAGTAAAATGAAAATAAAAAATAAAATAAAACCCTAACCCTAACTCCATTGGCAGATATGTTTACTTGTTTTAAGCAAAAACTAACAAAATTTGAATAATGTTTTCAGAAAACAAGACAAGTCATTTTACTTGTCAAGTAAATGCATCCTGATTCAAGAATTCTTAGTTATTTATACTAGAAAACAAGACAAAAATACTAAGGAAGAAAATCATTTTTTGTTGAGTTGTTAATAAATGAATGTCTGGTAGACGTTATATAAATAATTGTGTTATTCAACTCCTACCATTTTGCTTTTACAGAGCTGGGCTGGATCTTCTGTCTTTGGGCAGAGCGCAAGTATGCTCCACTCGCAGAATGGGACGATCACTTTTGGAGAACATTCATCTGTGCTAGATGGAAGCTCAGCTATTCAAACACAGATGGGACTTTCATTGAGCAACCCGGTTCAAAATCCTGTGAGTAACAGACACTTTCCAGGGATTCAGAACACAACAAAGTGCAAGCACTAAAAGAAACTGCAGTGTATGAAAAATGTTTCATCATTTATGATGCCCCTTTTAACCCTCTGGTATTGTTCATTTGGGGGTCACACTTGTGTTGTTCGAGGTCAAAAC